AATAATCCTTTTGCACAAACATTTGTAAATGCAAAAGATGTAGAAGATGAAGATGAAATAACATTAACATTTATAGCCATATATAATACTCATGGTAAAGATATGAGAAATTATAATATACCAACATCTGATGAAGTAGCTGCATTATATACAGATTATACACCTAAACAGCAAAGAGATATTATCATACAAAGATTTGATAATAAATTAATCAGAATATCAGAATTACATGATGTATATGATCCTTTACAATATCTTTTACTATTTCTATTTGGAGAATATGAATGGCATAAAGGAATATTAAGAGCAAATATTTAACCAAAAGTTGATGAAAAAAAAGAAGTTCTTGAATCAATAGAAGAAGAACAAGAGCAAGAACAAGAAACAGAATAAGAAGAAATCTAACAAAAATATACTCAAGAAGAAAGTTCTCAACAATTATGGTCTGATACTGGATTAATATTACAACAAGTTATGGATAATATATATATTCCAGATATACCAAAACAACAAAATGTTGAAAACCAACAAATTGTTGAAAAAGAACAAATTACTGAAAAAGAACAAATTGTTGAAGAACAAGAAATTGTTAAAAAACAACAAGGAGAACAGAGTGTTAAGAAAATAAACCCTCAAGAAACAACATCTATTGATTTTGAATCTTTATATTGTTACAGTAAGGAGGCCTTCTTTAACTCCTTACTATAACAATAACATGACTACAGGGATCCTTCATAGGTTTATAGTGATGTCCAAAAGGGAAGTATAGTAGCTTTAACTATTTAGCAACTATACTCTTCTCTGAGCAGTTTGGTTAAGACAATACAACAGTTTATAACTTTATTACTTGGAAGTGATAGATCTTGCCTGTAGGAATTACCCTAGAGGAGGAATATTAATATAGTTTATAGATAAAGGTAATAACTTTATTAAAGGAATAAGGCTATTTAGGTTTCTGTTCCTAAGGAATCCTTTTATATTTTACAAGAGTTACTAAACTAAAAAGTAGAGGGAGAGGAGTGTCTGTGACTTTCTTGACTTGGAGAAATTCTTGAAGTTTATATATCTGTTAACAATCATTAAAGCTAAGCATCAAAGCTTAATAATTATTAGAGCAAAGCATCAAACATCAGGTGTTAAATGTCAAGCATTAAGTGTCAAGTGTCAAGCATCAAGCATTAAGCATCAAGTGTTAAGCATCAAGCATCAAGTGTTAAGCGTTAAGCATCAAGCATCAAGTGTCAAGTGTCAAGTGTTAAGTGTCAACTGCTGTAATTGATTTGTTCTACATAATATAATAATAACTAATGCTAATAATAATAATAATTATATTAACAATTAATAATAAAATATACATTCATGAAACTATACTAAAATATAATAATAAAATTCATTCTATAACATTTCTGTCCCCTTAAGAAATTTGCTCTGCAAATTTATCTTCTAAGTCTTTAATCAAAGAAGTGAAATCTTTGTCTGTAAGTCTGACAATTTGTGTAGCAGCCAAGTATTTTGTCTGATAGATTATAGCTTTTGGTTGAAAAGTAAAAATTTTCTGAATACGATAAGCTTCTTTTCAAATGTCACAAGCTTTGCGAGCACTATTGGTTTCCTGTATTCATTCTTTAATCTGTTCCTGGTTAGCTTCATTTTCTTGAATAAGAGTTCCCAAATAATAGTAAGCTTTAAGGGTTTTAATCTGATTTTTTCTTGACTTGGCATGAGTAGGAAGTTTTTCCAAAATATTGTTAAGTTTTTTCTTTCAAGTTGTTTCTTTGAAAGGTGAGATTCGAGAGGCTTTCTAAGGTTCAAGAAGTTGTATGAGATCTTCCTTTATTTTTGTAAGAGAATTTTGTTCATCTAATTCTTCTTCTAGAATAGGAATCAAATTATTAATTAGTTCGTTCAAACTTTCAATAAGTTGATCAATTTCATTTAAAGCTGTTTCTTCAAGCTATAATGAAATATCAATAACTTGGTCCGGTATTTGGTCATCCCATAGTATTACATTTTGGGAAAAAATTCCTAAATTGTATTGAGCAGCAGGGTCTTGCCTTCAAATATAAATAAAATTTTGTAGAACCTGAATAGTATTAGATTGCAGAATAATAGTATTCATTTTTAAATAACCAAATTGTTAATTTAGGAAAATTTGCACAATTAGATTGTCTATATATATATTTTAAAGTAATACAAGATTTTCAAAATGTTTTTCATTGTGTCACTCCCTTCCAAATTAAATTTCTTCCAGAAATTTACTAAGTTTCAACAACAACTATTGGTTCTCAAGTCTGTTTCTTATAATATTTTACTAATTAATCACTATTGTAATAGTTTTGTAAGATCTTTCCTTCTTTATTTTGTAACTTGTAAGTGCCATTTCCTAATTTCTTATGAATTATGAATGGTTCTAGTCATTTATTCTTAAATTTTGCTGATCTTGTCATTTTTAGTTTCTTTCATTAGATCTATACTTTGTCATCTACTTTGAATTCTTGTACTTTAACTTTTGCATCGAAGTATTGTTTCTGTTTTTGTTGCGACTTATTAGTATTGCTTCTTGTATTCTCTTGCAATTGGGGCAATTTGTTTATTAGCTCATAAGCTCTATACAGAATACTGTCTTGTAAGTTAATATCTTCGCTACTTTCTGGTAGTGGTTCAACAGATATTAAAGCTTCAATCAGTAGTATAGCTTGTTAACCATAAATAAGTTGAAATGAAGTATATCCAGTAGTAGCATGCTTCTTTGTTCAATATGCTAATAATACAGCAGGAATATAAATGTCCCAATCATCTGTTTCTTTTACTTTAGCAAGTGATTCACAGAGTGTTTGGTTAAATCTTTCAACCATGCCATTTGTTTGTGGATAGTATGATGATAAGAATTTATGTTTGATTAGAAACTTTTCACATAATATATGGATAGTTTCACTAATAAAGTTTTGTCCTTGGTCAAATAAGATAATTTTTGAGGTTCCATGTCTACAAACTATTTTTTCAAAAATAAATTGTGCTAGTATAGCAGCTTCAGCATCGGGCACAGCTCGGGCTTCTGGCCATTGTGTTAGGTATTTAGTAGCAACAATTATATAGTGATTATTTTGTTTAGTAAGAGGAAAAGGTCCTACTAAATCAATACCAAGTCATTTAAAGGCTTATCCTATTTGAATAGGATGAAAAGATTCCTTTCTTTATTCCTTTTGTCATTGTTGACATTCTGTACAAGTTTGAACATATTCTTGTACATCTCTATACATTTGGTCCCAATAATATTGTTTAGCAATCTTATAGTATATGACATCTGTTCCTAAATGTCTGACAGTAGGATGTTTATGCATCATGTATAGGATAGGTTCTACTCAGTTCATTTAATAACTCTGAAGAGATAAGTAGGGTCTTTTCTATTCTTTTTATATAATAGTCCATGCTTTGTTTCAAAATGTCTGGCTTGTTAAATTAGTTGTTTTTCTTCTATGTCTGTTAACTCTTTAGATAATGTGTCTAATTCTAAATAATTATATAAGTTAATATATTGATCCAAATTCATTGGAATGGTATGAGTAGTGTCTAAGTCAGCAGCCTTGAGAGTGCATCTACATTGGAATGAACTCAGTCTGATTTATGAATAATTTCAAAATTATAGGGTTGTAATTTAAGTATCCATCTTCCAATTCATCCTTTAGATTTAGCTGTCCTTAACCATTTAAGAGCATAATGGTCAGTAATAAGGATAAACTTTGCAGTTCCTAGGTATTTATGAAAAT